ATCGACTTGCGTGGCAGTTACCACCAGATTCGGGTCTTCGCCGACGACTGACACAAGACCGTGTTTCGCACTCGCTATGTAAGCTACGAGTACACTGTGATGCCGTTTGGCCTCATAAGGGTGTGTAAAATCGCCGCACCTAAAAATTCGGCCACTAGCCAAGTGGTCGAATTGGCGAAAGTAACCCGTTTGAGAAAACTTCGAAGACGCTCGCGACCGTCGTTAATTTCGCCAATAAAAAACGAAATTGATGGTCGTTTTGAAAGTCGACTCGTATCCGACACCATGTCGACTCCAATTCGCTCAAGTAGTCGATACCGTGAGCGACTGTCACATACGACGTCGCACGGTCTCGCAGAACGACTGAAATTTTTTATCCTGTCCAATCATAGTTTTCGCCGTCAAATGTGCGACCCCGTCGCACATACGTTCTTACTGTAGCAACTGCAAATTTTACAACTCTTTGAAACCGGCCTGAAATTCGGCCCTCAAGCCTGTAAAGTTTGCAAATCTGCAAATAGTGGCTGCAAATAGTGGCTGTAAATGTGACGACACAAAGTCGACCAATCCGTCGACTTTCGCGAAAGACTTACGTAAAACCGGCCAAAAGCAGATTTCGCAAATTTGCGGGGATTTTACACGCCCTAAACACGCCTTCGACTTTTCAGCAGACCAAAATTTCGCAAATTTGGGATCTTCTCGACAAGTGAGTTATCGTCTATTTGGACGATATTATGATTTTTAGCAGGACAAGGGAACAATACCTCCGAGACCTCAACGTAGTGTTTAAACGGTTGCAGGAGAACCGCCTCATCATCAAGGGCTCTAAGTGCGTTTTTTTTTTTTTTTTTTAAGCAGGAGTTGGAGGTTTTGGGGCACGTCATCTCCCGTGACGGCATCAAAATCGACCCGGCGAAAATCAAGACTATCCAAGAGTGGAAGTCCCCGACCAGCATCACGGAACTTCAGAGTTTTCTGGGCTTCGTGAATTACGTCCGGCGGTTTATCCCGAATATGGCGGGGATAACCGGCCCGCTGACCGACCTGCTGCACAAGGACAGGAATTTTGTGTGGGGGGAGGAAGCTTTTCAGGAGTCGAAGAACTTTCTCATTTCCCCTCCGTTTTGCGCATCGCCGACCCATATAAGCCGTTCGAAGCCGTCACCAACGCCTCAGATTTCTGTGAAGAAATTGAGGAATGGAAGAAGAGGGGTTGCACTAGCAGCAGTTGGCATACATATAGGAAACCCTAATTGGGTTGTACTCGCTATAGAGTACCCCACTACAGGCTAGACAATTATAACATTCTGACACACCCCCATAGCCAAAGTGGGGTGTAATCAGCACAGTGAGCAAGCAGGCATAGAGCAGGAGTTCACAATAGCGAGCAAAGCTAGAGTTAATCACAGCGGGCAAGTGAGGAGGAGGAGGAACTGTGGAGGGAGAGAAGATGGGAGGCAACGACTGAAGCTGCAGAGGCACGGGCACAGGAGCGGCTGACTCAGTGGCTACCGAAGCAAGGGCGACGGACTACTGGAGTAACTGGCTCCGCGGCTATAGACGAGCGGCAGGAGCAACGGACCCACTGGCGACTGGTGCAACAGGCTCACTGGCTACCGAAGCAAGGGCGACGGACTACAGGCGCTGCAGGCGACACGACAGCTACCTTCACACAACCTCCTCCAACTGTCCCACACCCTCGACACACACCCCCTGCTCAGACCCTAGCTCCACTCCCACAGCACCCCCCTTTCACACACCCCCTGCTGCACCCTAGGTTCACTCACACCCCACCCCCTAGCACCACTCCGTCGACTCCCACACACCCACCCCCCTCAGCGGCAGCTGCAGCAGTGGGAGACAGAGGAGGAGGAGGAGCAGGGGAGACCACACACCCGCCACCCCCCACTCGCCACCCCCAGACCCTAACACAGGGCAGGGCGGGACGGCGGGTAGGGAAGTTACGGGGGGGGGGGGGGGGGCGACGCGCGGCCTCCCAGGGCGCCAAAACAGGCGGCAGAAGGGGCGGCGCTCGCCCCCCCCCCCAGGTCGCCCCTCCCGCCGCATGTCGAGGCGACCTGAGGGGGCCGCTCGCGGCCCCCCAGGGAGCCGCGACGGGCGACGGGAAAAGAGGGGGGGGGCGGTGCACGGGCCCCCGGTGCGCCGCGACAGGCGACGGAGCATGGCCGGGGCGGGGCCGGTAGGGGCGGCGACGGGGCCGCTAGGGGCGGCGACGGGGCCGCTGGAGGCGGCGACGGGGCCGATAGGGGCGGCGACGGGGCCGCGAAGGGGCCGCGAGGGGCCTGGAAGGGCGGCGACGGGCCGCTAGGGGCGGCGACGGGGCCGCGAAGGGGCCGCGAGGGGCCTGAAAGGTCGGCGACGGGGCCGCTAGGGGCGGCGACGGGGCCGCGAAGGGGCCGCGAGGGGCCTGGAAGGGCGGCAACGGGGCCGCTAGGGGCGGCGACGGGGCCGCGAAGGGGCCTCGAGGGGCCTAGAAGGGCGGCGACGGGGCCGTTAAGGGTGGCGCGAGGGGAAGAAAAAAATTCGTCGCACGCAACGTGGCGTGCAACGCACAGAGTAGCAGCGGAAGCAGTTAGGTGGGCCCACAGGCCAGGAGCGTAGATGCTATGATAGCATGTGAAGAAATTGAGGAATGGAAGAAGAGGGGTTGCACTAGCAGCAGTTGGCATACATATAGGAAACCCTAATTGGGTTGTACTCGCTATAGAGTACCCCACTGCAGGCTAGACAATTATAAGATTCTGACAATTTCGCCATCGGAGCTGTACTTCTCCAGGAAAGCGGACTGCAGCCGATCGCCTACGAGTCACGCAAGCTGCAGTCAGTCGAGCGCAACTACCCGATACATGACAAGGAGATGCTCGCCATAATACATGCATTCAAACTGTGGCGCTGCTACTTGGTGGGCGCCGACATCACTGTTCGCACGGACCACAAGTCCCTACAATACCTGCGAGCTCAGCCCACCCTCAACCCGCGACAAATTCGGTGGCTGGATTACATGGAGAGCCACTTCACCTACCGCCTCACGTACAAGAAAGGGGCGAATAACATCGCTGATGCCCTGACCAGACCGACAGTTCAATCCGCTGCAGTACTCATCACCCATTTGAACTCGCTCCTTACGAGACTTTTCACCCACAGCTACACTACGGACCCGTTCTTCACAACTGGAAATCACCAGCAGGCGACGACGCAGAAAGGGAATTATTACCTAAAAGCCGAAACTGACCGGATTTGGGTTCCCGCTTACCGGCTGCTGCGTAAACTCCTAATTCAGGAGGTCCACGACTCTAACCTCTTTGGACATTTTCGGGGTTGATAAAACCCAGAAGCTATTGCACCGTCAATATTATTGGCCCGATTCTGCTAACGACGTGCAGCGATATGTGTCCTCATGCAGGGTGTGCCAAGCCATGAAATTAACACGACAGCGGCCAGCTGGATTGCTGCAACCTCTCGAGCCACCCGAACGACCGTGGCAACAGGTGACAATGGATTTCGTCACGGGGCTGACTGCTGTGCCGTCTGGCAATGACGCTGTTCTTGTCGTCGTCGATTGCCTCACGAAAATGGCGCATTTCACACCGTGTCGTACAACAACCACAGCCGAAGAAACTACGCGCCTCTTCATCTCAACCGTCGTGCGACTGCACGAAATCCCCGCGGCGATCATCAGCGACAGGGACCCGAAGTTCACGTTGAAATTCTGGAAGGAGACGTGGGCACAGTACGGCACGAAGCTGCAGTTCTCATCGACATACCACCTGCAAACGGACGGCCAGACCGAGCGCACCAATCAGACTATGGAGCAGCTGATCAGGACAAACTGCCCCGACCCCGCTCGCTGGGAAAACTCGCTCGCCATGCTGGAGTTCGCGCTCAACAACGCCCCGTCCAGCACAACTAATCACTCCCCGTTCTTCTTAAATTACGGGATGGACCCGACGGTTCCTACGACGACTACACTCGACAACCCGGTCCCGCGGTCACAGACATTTGTGACGGAACTACAGGAAGTTCGTGAGAAGGCTGTGGACGCAATCCGCAAGGCGAATACCACTTCCCGCAAATACACCGACCTACGACGAGAACTCGTCTTGGTAGCTAGGCAACTAGTGCTACTTGACATGAAAAACCTGCACCTGCCCGGCCCGTCGAAGTTACGACCACGATTTTGTGGGCCTTTCAAAATCATCAAGATGGTGACACCTATCACCGCGAAGCTACTGCTACCTGACGACTAGCATATATATGACGCCTTCCATGTCAACCTCCTTCGCAAGTTTGTGCATGCGCACCAGAACGCCGCCCTGACAGCCCGACCTGTCCCGGAACCAACACTTGACCCGTTGAAGATTTTGACGCATCGTGTTCGGCTCGACGCTTCTGGACGCCACGTGGATTTTCTAATTTGTTGGACTAACCGCACCAGTGAGGACGACACCTGGGTGCCATCCGCCTCGCTTGAAATTTCCCCGCTTCTTGGTGATTACCTCGCCCGCAAACGAGCTGCGGATATTGACCACCTTTCTTGAAGGGGGTGGTAGTGTAAGGAAAACCCATTTTTCCTTACAGGGGTTTACTCAACCGCGTACAACCCCAACTTTCGGAAGTGCACGTTCGGCCACTTTGCTTGCTGCCGAAGCAACCACGCGTCGCCTTCGGTCTTCCCTTGCCCAACCAGCACCCAACCTCGCGTTCCCGAGGTTCCCGGTTTAGCTAGGTTGTCCCACTACATAATCGCGTGCCCTTCATTGTACAGGCAGTTCATTGAGTCACATCTTCATTATTCATTATTCTGCACACTCTCTTTTACAATTCATAACACAATTCTTTCATAACTTCTGTCTGGCTAGCGCGTACGACACGGATTTTGTTTTACTTACTCCACTATACTTCATGAGGGGCACAATCAACACCTTAAATACCGTATGCACCATGGGCCTCTGTCTGAAGCGAGTGAGGGGACACTGTAGTCAATAACCATAACCTCCGCCTTGATAATTTGCAGCACCATAATTGCCTTGCTGGTAACCAGGTTGCTGGTAGTTACCAGCACCTGTCGGATAGCCACCTTGAGGATTTGGATATCCACCACCTCCCATTCCCATACCCACACTTGCTGCCATGCCCCCACCCATCACTCCCATACCTCCACCGCCCATCCCCATTCCCCCGTACCCACCACCCTGCATGCCATAACCACCAGCACCACCTCCCATCCCACCCATTCCACCACCCATTCCACCCATAGCCCCCATCCCTCCCATCCCCCCCATTCCTCCTCCCATTACCATCCCACCACCCATGCCTCCCATGCCCCCCATGCCTGCCCCCATAACCATGCCAGCAGCACCAGCACCAGCACCAGCACCAGCACCAGCACCAGGACCCATGGCACGGCCCATGACAGCGGGCACACCCCCCGGCTGGCCCTGCCCCTGCCCGTGCTGCTGCTGCTGGCGGGTGGCGTCCTCCTTGCGCTCGCGTGCCGATCTGAGCTTCGACTTGGGCATCACGCCCACCGAGCTCAGCGGGTCATCCGGCTCTGATGCCGCCACGCAGGCGGGTTGGGGGGGGGTGGCGCACGGGAGAAGGGAGATGGGGGTTGAGTGGGATGGCAGAGCAAGGGAGAGCGGAAGCTGACGGAAGTAGGGACACATGGGAGAAGGGTGATGGTGGGCACGTGGGGTTCATTATAAAGCAAGGACAGAGAGCTGTTGCCTCAACGACAGAGAGCATGGGAGCCAGGCAGCACAGCCCAGCTGCACCTTCTGTGACTTCCCACAGCAAAACTATGGCAATTTCACCCGTGCCCCGTTCAACACTGAGCAGCAGTCATACACTGGTACATGAGCATGCTGCATGTGCACAGTCACTCCACGGGCATACTGCACACTCGCATCTGGGGGGCATGGTACACGCGCATGCAATGACGCCATGATGCCATGACACCATGATGCCATGACGCCATGATGCAATGACGCCATGATGCAATGACGCCATGATTCCATGACGCCATGATGCCATGACGCCATGATGCCATGACGCCATGATGCCATGACGCCATGATGCCATGACGCCATGATGCCATGACACCATGATGCAATGACGCCATGATGCCATGACGCCATGATGCCATGACGCCATGCAAGGTGTACCTTTGGAGATGTTGAGGTCCACAAGGCCGGCACTGAGCACGTCTGAGAACACACTTGACTTCTTCACTCCCGCACCTGCCCCCGCACTCACACCGCCCTTGCCCTCTCCACACATTGCTGCCGCTCCTGCTGCACCGCTATCACTGCCGGCAGCACCAGAGGGCGCAGCAGAAGCAGGTGCAGGCACGGAGGCAGGGGGAGTGGGGTGATGGGCGGTGTTATGGGGGGGAGCAGTGGCGGAGGTGGGAGCAGCGTCTGAGGCAGAGAAGGCATATGGTGCAGCTGGCACGGGCGCAGCAGGCTGGGCGGGGTCTGCGTAACCAGATGCCGCCACCGCTGCCTGCTGCTGTTGCTGCTGCTGCTGTGGGGGCTGCTCGGATGAAAAGGAATAGGGCGGGGGGGCATCGGGTGGGAAGGCGTGGAAGCCCTCTTGAGAGGCCGTTGCTGCTGCAGCAGCAGCTGGGGGGCTGGCCGGTGCTGCTGCTGGCTGCTGCTGCTGCTGTGGCTGCTGATATTGCGGAGGTGGCTGGTCGTACTGCTGAGGTGGCTGCTGGTACTGCTGAGGCGGCTGCTGGTACTGCTGCTGAGGTGGCTGCTGATATTGCTGAGGTGGCTGCTGATATTGCTGAGGTGGCTGCTGATATTGCTGAGGTGGCTGCTGATATTGCTGAGGTGGCTGCTGATATTGCTGAGGTGGCTGCTGATATTGCTGAGGTGACTGCTGATATTGCTGAGGTGGCTGCTGATATTGCTGAGGTGGCTGCTGATATTGCTGAGGTGGCTGCTGGTAGTGCCCTGGCTGCAGCGCCTGTTGCGGCTGCTGTGAGAACGCGGCTGGGAAGGACGAATCCCCAAAGGCAGGTGGCTCTGAGGGCAAGGGAGGATGAGGGGCGGAAGGGATCAGGAGGAACGAAAGAGGTACCTGGTGAGGCTGGCGGAGCGATGCGGAAGAGTAGCGTGGCAGGCAGAGGAAGAAAAAGGAAGAGTAGGGTGGCAGGCAGAGGAAGAAAAAGGAAGAGTAGGGTGGCAGGCAGAGGAAGAAAAAGGAAGAGTAGGGTGGCAGGCAGAGGAAGAAAAAGGAAGAGTAGGGTGGCAGGCAGAGGAAGAAAAAGGAAGAGTAGGGTGGCAGGCAGAGGAAGAAAAAGGAAGAGTAGGGTGGCAGGCAGAGGAAGAAAAAGGAAGAGTAGGGTGGCAGGCAGAGGAAGAAAAAGGAAGAGTAGGGTGGCAGGCAGAGCAGAGGAAGAAAAAGGAAGAGTAGGGTGGCAGGCAGAGGAAGAAAAAGGACGAGTAGGTTGGCAGGCAGAGGAAGAAAAAAAAGAGTAGGGTGGCAGGCAGAGGAAGAAAAAGGAAGAGTAGGGTGGCAGGCAGAGGAAGAAAAAGGAAGAGTAGGGTGGCAGGCAGAGGAAGAAAAAGGACGAGTAGGGTGGCAGGCAGAGGAAGTAAAAGGAAGAGTAGGGTGGCAGGCAGAGGAAGAAAAAGGAAGAGTAGGGTGGCAGGCAGAGGAAGAAAAAGGAAGAGTAGGGTGGCAGGCAGAGGAAGAAAAAGGACGAGTAGGGTGGCAGGCAGAGGAAGAAAAAGGAAGAGTAGGGTGGCAGGCAGAGGAAGAAAAAGGAAGCAGAGTGAACAGCAAAGCAACTGGGGATGGATGGGATGCAATGCAGAATGCATTGGGGATGAGGGAAGTGAGTCCAACGGGGCAAGCGAGTCGAGTGTGTACCTCCAACTGCAGCAGCAGGTGCGGGCTGCCACTGCTGCTGTGCTGGCTGCTGCGCTGCGGAGCGCGGGTCAAAGTCGTCGTCGTCAAAGCCCCCCCCGCCCCCCCCACCAGACGCCGCTGCTGCAGGGGCCGCAGCAGTAGCAGCAGCAGCAGCAGCAGGAAGAGGGGCATCGGAGGGTGGGTAGGTGTAGGGCTGTGTTGGGCCTGGGCCGTAGGCGCTGCTGTGGGTGGTTTCAGAGGAGAAAGGAGGGGGAGGCGAGTTGGCACAGTGAGCATGGTACAGGCAGCCAGGCAGTGGTGTGCCAGGCTACGATCAGCTGCTTCACGCTGAAAAAGGGAACTGTTAAACGGAATGAATGGATAGGAGAAAGGCGTTTTTTTGCAGGAACAGGCCTACCTTGCCGAAAAGCCTTCCTCTTCAAACGGACTGGCGCTGGCTGCTGCAGTGCTGGGCACCGCAGCAGGCCTGGGCGCACTCTGTGGCGTCCCCCCACCGCCTCCCCCTTGCCCCCCTGCCACACCTTCCCCGCCAGCACTGCTGCCCGCCACCCTGCTGCCCGCCGCACCCCCTCCCTCGTGCCCACTCGCCCTCGCCGCTCCCCCTCCCGTGCTGCTGTGCTCCACCTCCTCCTCATCCCCGTATCTCTGCTTGCCTGTGTACCCGCTGGGCCTCTCGCCATCGCCACTGTGCGCGCTGTCAGTGGCGTGCACCCTCTCCGCCGACCCCGTGCTGTACACACTCCGCCCGTCGCCCGCGTAGCTGTTGCTGCCGTAGCTGGCTGTGGGGTGCGAGTCCCTGGACTGCCTCTCAGGCTCGTAGTCGCCATATGGGTTCGACGCCCGCCCCGTGCCTGCTGCTGACGCGCCCTTGAACCTGGTGGAACAATCGCGAGTGGTTGAGGGCGGGGGAGGAATGTGAAGCCATGTTTTGTGGAGCATGCAGCATGCCAAGTCAAGCATCTTAGCAGGTGGCAGCAGCACACACCTGTTGCGAGTGGCAGCAGCACACACCTGTTGCGGGTGGCAGCAGCACACACCTGTTGCGGGTGGCAGCAGCACACACCTGTTGCGGGTGGCAGCAGCACACACCTGTTGCGGGTGGCAGCAGCACACACCTGTTGCGGGTGGCAGCAGCACACACCTGTTGCGGGTGGCAGCAGCACACACCTGTTGCGGGTGGCAGCAGCACACACCTGTTGCGGGTGGCAGCAGCACACACCTGTTGCGGGTGGCAGCAGCACACACCTGTTGCGGGTGGCAGCAGCACACACCTGTTGCGGGTGGCAGCAGCACACACCTGTTGCGGGTGGCAGCAGCACACACCTGTTGCGGGTGGCAGCAGCACGGTCCCTGAGCTCAGCAATGCGCGCGGAGTCGCGCAGCAGGGCGAGTAGCGCCTGCGCCTTGGTGCGCACGTTGAGGCCCTGGTCCTTGCCCGCGCTGTCCATGTACTGGAAATCAGCGAGACTCTGAACGCGACCACCACGCAGGCCACAGTGGGATGGGTGAGACAAAGAAGAGGAGGGGTCTGCTGATTGTCACAACACAAGAACATTTCATACTACACCTATTCTTCAAATGAAAGTTAGCATTCACAATGATTAACAATGGAAGAATGAGAGGGAAATAACAGATCTGAGCATGGGGAAAGAAGGCACCTGGATGAAGGCAGAGCGGTCGCGGAGGTCTCTGACGACGCGCTCGGTGCCATGCGCCACCAGGTACTCCATCATCACCAGCGCCTGCCCCCCGCGCCCCGCCCCGTGGCACCGCATGGCCCGGCACGCACAAGATGGGACAGGGACATAACATACAAGGGACGAACGGAGCATACACGTTACTGCCCAGCGAATGCTAGTGAACTAACGCGACCCCCTACCAAACCCATGACGGAAGATGGTCACACAAACTTTCATGCTTTGAGCACAAGCAGAAATCTACGACTCCACCTATCATGCGCACTCACCTCATACACGTGGACTCACCTTGTACACGTGGCGCCAGTCCTTGCCTACATCCTGGCAGCGCTTCCACAGCACGTTCATGACCATGGAGTACTCGATCCTGCACCGCGCACAGCAGCACCGCGCACGGCCATGTAAGATGAGTGAACATGCAAGGGGACTGACGTGACACAACGAATTGCACTCAGATGGAATGCTTCTACGGAAACGATCAGCGTGCTGGTGGCTAATGAGGCGGATTCCAAACGGCATAGAATAAGCTGAACTGGCCAAAGAAAAAGAGGTGAATGCAAGATCCGCGGCGCTGTGGGGGAACGGGTCGTACGGGTTGTGCGACGCCCGCGCGAGGTCCACGAGCAGCTGGCCGTGAGGCCCCCATGGCTCGTTGGTCGTCGCATCCAGAGCCTGAGAGGCCGAAACACGCACACGCACACGCACATGCACACGCACATGCACACGGACACGGACAGTCGCAGACGCGCACGCGCACGCACACGCATGTGCATGCAAACGAGCACACACACGCACATTGACACGCACACCCACGAGCATCCAAAGTCATGAAAGAAAGTCACCGTGTCAGAGTGTAACTGCGAAATCGTACCGTTAATGGCAGCTCGGAATTTCAGAGGCTAATGCACAGCCAGGATAATGAAATCTATATGTTTGAAGGTGTGCAATCGCATGACGAAGCAACTCGATACAATTAGAAACGCGCATCACTACGCAGTCCGGAAAGCGCAAGCACGAATGAGGGACTTGGAAAAGAACAAGACATCTCACCTTGCGCTCAGCATCAGGCACCTTGAGCACATTCTTGTTGACCTCACGCTTTCTGCACCGGCAAACCACGGAGATGGATGGTAACAGATTAGCACGATCGAAGCATATCGGTGGAAAGCAAGGAGGTTGTTCGACAGCGGAAAAACACTACGGAACAAGCGTGAAAGTTCCGCTTCGAGACAATGGCACGAAGTAGCACAAACAAGAAAACGTACATGTCTCGAACGGTACGGTCGAATGCCTTGTAAATTGACGACATGACTACAGACTAAACGCGTCACTGCGATCACGATGCTGATAGATGCAGCTACTGATCAGTTTTCTAATACGATCTACAAATTTCATGAATCTTGGTTTATAGCCATAGATGCTGTGTCAGCAGAACGACATAGCGATGCTGCCAATGCACTGTCCACTTTTGCTGTGGCATCGGTTTTGAACTGCTGACGGAAGCATGCTTGGCTGTTCCATCCGAAAGCCGAGGCGGTGGGAGAAAGTTCGAGAAAGTCGCGGCAATCCCGTTGCTTTCAAATTGTGTATTTGCTCGTTGACCAGATGGCTTTGGGATGAGAAGTGCAGTGGGGAACAATAATAATAACGAAGCAAATATCTTTGATATAAACATGGCGGGGAATAAATAATTGTGGTCTGACACCACCCTGCGTCACGCTCAAACGACAGCACCGCAGGCAGCGGAAGAAACCAGACCAGACCTTCCTCACTCCCAGCAGTTTTCCGCATAGCCGCCCATCAAGGCTAACACAATTCACGCCCGTGCGAAGATGTGTGCTTCCGCCACTCCCTGCTCACCCCGAATTCATTTTCCCCTGTTCCCCACCCCCCTCCCCCCCCATCTTCCCCCCATCTTCCCCCCATCCCTCCCATCGGCACCATTCCCGAATTCATTTTCCTCTGTTCCCTACCCCCCTCCCCCCCCATCTTCCCCCAATCTTCCCCCCATCCCTCCCATTCGCACCATTCTGGGGCCCAACAGAGTTCACCGTTGACTGTCGTGATGTAGCTTGCGGCAGACGGTGGGACGACGGAGAGAGGCACAAACAAACCACAAACTTGGGACTCGTGAGTGTGGCTCGTTCAGCAGAAGGTTTCTAGGCAAGGTTACATCATCGCAACCTGTTTGATTCGCCCTAGAGCCGCTATTGTTCTTTGACCACCCGCGACTTTTCTTAGTATCAGAAACCGCGACTACTTTCACCAATCCCCGTCATAGAATAGCAGCGTACCACGATGACAGCGCCAGCTGGGAACCCTAAGAAGGAGTCCAAGAAGCCTAAGTGTGAGCTCCACTCCACTTGGCGAGTTCATTCTCCATCCGGCTGCTCATGTTTCTGAATTCGTTGATTTATCATTCCGTGTTTGATTTTCGCACATCGTGGTTTGACAGTTGCTATTCTCGTACGGTTGCTGATACAGTGCATTGTAATTGCTGATCCCTGTTCCCATTCATGCGTCCAGACTCGCGTTTCACACAGCAGGAGCTGCCGGCGTGCAAACCGCTGCTGACGCCAGCATGGGTCAGTGCCACGCACGCGTCGTGATTTCCACCTGCAAGAGGATCACAATCAAGTCATCGATTTAGATATTGTTTTTGCGCGTCGGTGGTCTATGACTGCGTCTTGGCCGCGGATCCTGTGGTGTTGGAGTCGCCCTTATGTTCTTTTCGCTTCTCCTTCTCCCTGCGCTCGCTGCTCCCCACATCACTCACACTTGTCCATCTGGCCAAACCTCGCCTCTCCTGCCGCTTTCTCGCCCCTCGTCACTCGCCTGTCTCTGCGTGTCGCAGGTGATCGCGACGCTCTTCCTTGTCGGCGCCGCCTTCATCCCCATCGGAGTCGTCGCTCTCATGGCGTCTAACAGCGTAGGTCGCTTGTGGCGTCTAACAGCGTAGGTCGCTTGTGGCGTCTAACAGCTTAGGTCGCTTGCGGCATCTAACAGGGCGGCATCTAACAGCGTAGGTCGCTGGCGGCATTTGACAGCGTAGGTCGCTGGCGGCATTTGACAGCGTAGGTCGCTGGCCGCATCTAACAGCGTAGGTCGCTGGCGGCATCTAGCAGCGTAGGTCGCTTGTGGCGTTTAACAGCGTAGGTCGCTGGCGACATCTGACAGCGTAGGTCGCTGGCGACATCTGACAGCGTAGGTCGCTGGCGGCATCTAACAGCCTGACAGCGGGCAGGATGCAGTCCTTGTCGCGTTGTATCCGCGCTTGTGTGCGCCTTGCCGCCTGCATGCGCCCCAGCTTGCTTGCTTACTTGCGCGCTCTCTGTATGCCCATCCCATGCGTGCGCCTGTGCCTGTCACCCCGCAGGTGGTGGAGGTGGTGCAGCGCTACGACGACAGCTGTGTGCCGGCCGGCAAGGACGGCGTGGCGTACATTCAGAACGCGTCCGTCGTCAAGAAGTGCGACATCCGGATCACCGTCAGTCGCCTCTCCCCCTCTCCCTCCCTCACCTTCTCGCGCTGTAGTCACGCCCTTGTCTCTCATTCTCTCAATTCGCCCACTATTTGAGCTGATCGCTAGTGGCCTCAGCCATTGACATTGCATCTCTCTGCCCCCCAACTGTTGCCCTTTCTGCCTGATTCGCCGGTCACACATGTGTTCCCCGCCGTGCAGGTGCCGAAGCGCATGCAGCCGCCAGTGTTCGTGTACTACCAGCTCACCAACTTCTACCAGAACCACCGCCGGTACGCCTTGCCCTCATGCCCATGCCACGCCATGCCTTGACTTGACATGCCATGCCACACCACTCCATGCCATCCCTTTTTTCAACGAGTAGCCCCTTGGTAGCGCAACAGTGAATCTATTTTCGATCAACTGAAGCTTTCTCGAAGCTAGCTTATCCCCAGTTATGATGGGCAGTTGTTTCTGCTGCGTGCCATTTTTTTCCACGCTAGCTTATCTAAACTAGTTTAATTTGGGGCCTCTCTATTCTCCTGCTCCCCTCCCCCCCCCCTTGTCGTTGGGTGTTGCTGTTGCATGGGGCGGAGCAGGTACGTGAAGAGCCGCAGTGACAGCCAGCTGCGGGGCACCAACATCAGCGGCAGCGATTTTGACGTGTGCCAGCCAGAGGCGTACCTGTGGGACAACACGTCCTCGCCCATCCGGCCGTGCGGGCTGGTGGCGTGGTCGCTGTTCAACGACTCGTACGCCATCACAGACGTGGGCAGCGGGCAGCAGCTGGCCATTGACAGCAGCAACATCGCGTGGCCCAGCGACCAGAGCGGCAAGTTCGCTGGCGTGCCGCCTGAGAACTTCAACACTGTTGATGACCTGCGCGGCGGGGCGCAGCTCAACACGCTTGTAAGCTTGCTTAGCAGCCACACAGGCATGGTGCACGGGAACGCATGGGTGTGAGTTACACGTGCTCTTATCCCGCATTACACTCCCCCTCAACTCTCGCCTGTACCCCTTCTCATTCCCAAGGTCATGTGGAGCGAGTGCACGTCCTCACAGCCCAATGGCCTCATTCCCGTTTCTGTGACCCCTTTCTCCCTGTGTGTGGAGTGCAGCTGAACCAGTCGGAGAATCTGATGGTGTGGATGCGCACGGCAGCGCTGCCCACGTTCCGCAAGCTGTATGGGCGTATCAACACGCCACTGGAGGCAGGCAGCACGCTGGCCGTGGTGCTGCAGAACAACTACAACTCCTACCAGTACGGCGGCCAGAAGGCCCTCGTCATCTCCACCGCCAGCTGGCTGGGCGGCGCCAACGGATTCCTGGGCCTCGCCTACCTCACAGTGGGGGGGCTCTGCTTCCTGCTCGGCCTCCTCTTCTTTGTCCTCCTCTTCACAAATCCAAGGTATGTATTGGATACTTGTCTAGGCTTTCATCTCCAAGGGTGCATTCCACGAGCAAGCGTCACAACATGAGGCGCCGCAAACGTTTGTGATGCCTATTTCTGGTATAGAATGTTAGGCGTCACCAACATGAAAAGCGAATGTGCGACAAACTTTGTGTTCTAAACTGGCTGCCGTATTGGCTGCCGTGAATCGTGCGCAAATGCGCAAGT